TGAATACTTATCTTTGTTGTAAATACTTAAATCATAAAAGAATTGCAAAAAGGCTTTGTAAACTAAAAAATAAAATGCCTTTGAAATGGGAATCTTTAATTTCCCTGAAAAATGATCTATCATTTGAGAAGTGAGTCGTCAGTCAGGATGTTAAAAGACTAATGGTCATTCATGTCAATGGAAATAAAATATATCTTCATAAAAGGCTCCTGGCCCACTTCTCTGATACCCTTTGTTAAACATGCTCTGGCCACGACTGTTTTCCTTCAGTTGCTCTAAGAAGATGTGCCTCTTGTTGCTTTGGGGCCCTCACAGTGTTATTGCCTCTGGAGTGCTTTACCTCCTCAACTCCTCACCCCCTTATATATGGCCCCTTCTTGCCCTTCTGTTAACAGCTCCAGTGTGGCTTCCTCATTTTCTGTCACAAAGGCATTCTCACAGCACTCAGCACCACATTCAATCACCTTGATCATTTACTGCTTTCATGTTCATTGTTGATTTCTCTTTTACAATGTTTGCTTCCTGAGGACAGAAACTTATCTGTTTGATTCACTTAACTACTAAAATTGTTTAGAGATGAGGAAGGAGGGTGTATAGATGTATTTGAGGCAGTCATATGCCTTTGAAGTGTGCAACATGGTAAATGTTTGCAATCTAAATAGAGTGTTCTCAAGTCCAGGACTAAATGGTTTTATAGGATATGCATATACTTGTTTGCTTACACTTTTTCTTAAGCACAGAGTATTATCACTAGTGCCAGTCTCTGTGTTACAATCAGTAGTGTTTATTTTTGAAGGTTAATTTTTTTCCCTGTCTCATTTTATCTTTCACTATTGAACACTTTATGCCACTATTTCAGTCACCAAATGTGTGTGTCTATGTGAGTGCTTTATTTTGTCTCCTAGAGCAAAATAAGGATGGCCCTTGTTACAGAATTTTTTGAAATTTGATTTGTACTTAGCTTGACATGAGTGATGGGGAATGAAGAACAAAAGTTTGTGTTCATTAATTGATTCATTCATTCAACAAATACTTATTAAGCATCAGGGCCAAGTCCTGATGTAGGCACTCAGGCTACAACAATGAATAAAATAGATAAAAATTTTGGAACTGATGGAGCTTACTAACATTCTCATGTGGGGAGATGGCTAATAGTAATAAATATGAAAATAAGTAAACTACATAATATGTTAGAATTAAATAAATTATATAGTATAAGAAACAGAAAAATCACTATAGACAAATAGAGTAATGTAAGTGGATTGGAAATACTTGTGGGAGGGTGTTATAACTTAAACAGGTGGTCAGAGCAGGTCTCATTCAAAAGGTAAGATTTAGCAAAGGTTTGAAGTTAGTGAGGGAGCAAGCAATGTGGATAACTGGGACCAAGGCATTCAAGACAGTGTGGGACAAAGACTCTGAGACGCTGCCATGTTTGACCAAAAGCAAGGAGGCCAGTGAGGCTGTAACAGAATGAGCCAAAAGCAGAGATAAGATCAGAGAAATAACCAAGAGCCAAATTGTGTAAGGCCTTGTCAGGTACAAATAAAGCAATGATAAGGAAACCAACACGTGATACAATTATCTTTGAGCAAATGGACTTGTGATAGTCCTTGACAAGCAGAGAATTGGAGAGAAGGGGCTGGAATGATCCTTTAGAACAGAAGTTCTCAGTGGGCAGAGACTTTGCCTTTCTCCCCTAGGGGACATTTGGTAATGTCTGGGGATCTTTTTGATTGTCATGATTTGGGGGAGGGGAGGGTTAAAGCTCCTAGAATCTAGTGAGTAGAGGCCAGGGATGCTGCTAAACAACCCACAACGCATAGAATGGCCCCTCTCATAACAATGAATCACCAGGCTCCAAAAGCCAACAGTGCTGAGGTTAAGAAATTTTCCTTTAGAGAACCAAAGTACGGTCATGAGGTATGTGCTCGGCACATCATCAGCGTTTAAAACTATACTGTTAATTTTTATATATTTCAAAATTTGGATAAAAGAGTTAGGAATTGCCAAAATGAATGCAGAGAGGGCAAAAAGAAAATTTTTAAAAAGCACAATCAAGCATGGAAAAGCATTATCCCAATAATAAAAACCTTTGAAGGAATATCAAGAATAAAAAAAGTAATTCCATGAGGACTAATTGCTTCACAGTCTTGCTGCTCCTGGCCATAGTTTATGTAATGAAACTAGGCCAAAGAAAAACAGTTGTTCTAAGAAATGAAGCTAGAATTCAAAAGTATAAAGCATTTATACTCAGACAAAAAATAATCTCAAGGTCTGTCTCCTATGGCAGATACATGAGGACTATCACAAGTTCAAAGAGACATTTGTTCAGGTCAATACAAAAACATGCCATTCACAAGAAGCACTATTGTGGTCATGCTTCTTCCATAATTGAATGAAGCTAATGGACATTCTTGGATTTCTGTTTGGCACTGCAGAAACTGGAATTTATCTTCATGCCATATCAATCCTTCAGAATCATTAATGGGTCAGAAAATCCTATTAGACTATGTTAAAACTTAGGAAAACATGCCATTACAATACTTAGGAACTATTATTTTCTATCAGTCTTCCTCCAATATTACTGGTTTGTTTTCTTTCCTGTATGATCACTTTCTGTCTTGGAGCCTTGTTTATTTCTGTTTGCCCCAAAGGAAGCAGATATTCTAAGGTAACTTAAAAATAATATACAAATGCATAAACCATATAAATGACCTTAAAATATACATAGTGAGTGGTTATATACGTGATTAGAAGAGTTACTATGAGCTTAAGAATAGGTTTGAGACTCATAAACGATACTGTGACAGTTTGTCATTATTTGCCTTTTTGAAAATAGTTATCTGTAAATTACTCACGTTACATATAAAGGCTATATTTCTGACTCTACCTAAAAATGTTTCCTCTGAAGAAAAAATGGGTAGTGTGGCTCATGGAAGAAAAATAACACGAAGGAAATGTCAAGTCTCAGGGTGGTAATTTGGGCTTACTCTGCGGCCTGGCTGCCACATGACCTTGAGCAACGCCTGGCTTCTCTGGCCCTTAATTGATCCATATCTAAGTGAGCATAACACCACTAGACGAAGCTCATAAGATTGTGGTGAAGAGACTCTAATAAAAATGCACTTTTCAAAAATGCTGCATAAATGCTAAATAGAGTAAAATATGTCTCGTTTCCATTACATTTATGGGAGCTTTCCGCGTGGGCTCCCCCCAATGATGAGCACCTCACTAAGCTCTGGCAACCTTTTCAAATACCATAGAGGCAATCCTTTTATTTATGTGAATGCAAGAGACATTTAGATATATCTGTTATTCACACAGAGAAGCAAATTGATCATTCAATATATATTCTGCTATATATACATAAATATGCTAAATCTGTTCATAACTGCTGTTAAAGGTAAAGGATATAACATTGTGCTTTGCAGTAGAGCAAAATATGATATTTCATATTTGGGTGCAAAGGGAAGCATGGTGGATTCGTTATTTATATTCTAATTCATCAGACTTTTCAGGGAGATTTTAGAGCAAATACAATATGATGACAGCATAATTAACTCCCTATTAATGGACTTGAGTGGAAACAGGTATAGATGCAGAGACTATACTCTAGGTAAAATTAATTACATACTTTCTTATTTTAATTTATTTTTACATATGTAATTATAGGTAAACGGATTCAAAATAAAGTAAAAAATATTATAATCAGAATTTTGTTGATAAGGCTAGGCTTGTAGAATTGTCATAATTCATTCCTTCAAATGTGAAATATTTTTAATAAATTCTTTAATATTATGTACTTTGAATTAATATCAAATAAAAGAAGTGAAATTATAAAAGTATAATACTTTGAGAGTTTCACAATCCTATTTGCTGAACGTAGGTGGGCACCGTATACACATGTAGTTCTCAATTTGCAGACTGTATGTATTCTAGAAGAATTGGGTCTAAATCAAGTTGTATACATAAATATTCAATTTTCTTACTATTTTTCATTTCAAAAGCTAAAAGGAAAATATTGTCTCCAATGTGTGTGTGAAGAATGAAATTTTAACAATATTGTGATATATATTTTTTTCTTATTTTTAGCACAACCATAGACTCCCAAAATGTTGAGAACAAAAGAGGTAGTAGTAGTAATCTAGTCCAGTGATTCTCAAAATGGAATGCTTATTTCAATTGCCTTTGAAATTCAAAATAGTAATAATATAGTGTACTAGGCACTACTTAATTCAGTAGATCTGAGTTTGGGACTCAAAAAATCAGTTTGGGCCTTGAAAATATTAGTTTCTCAGTGATTCTGCTGTGCAACCAGTGATAGAAACCATTAATCCAGTCAGCATATTATTTAATAAAGGAGTAAAGTGAGTCCCAGAAAGGTTGAGTAATTTAGTAAGAACATAATGGCAGAGCCAAGTCTAGAGGCCTGGTTTCCAGGCACAGAAGCTGTATTATAACATTCTTCTCTGAGAAACAAAATATACTTCCAGGCTGAAAACTCTATAACTTTCAATTCTATAAATGAATTAGTATTTGGCCTTTTTCAATTCCATACATGAGTACGTGTGTGTGTGAGTGTGTGTGTGTGCTGTGTTTGTGTATGTACTGGATTTTACTTCTTCCCTGCATCATGTTCCTTTTCTCCTAATTTTGTAGCCATGAGATTGCTTCTCTCAATAAGTAAATTGCACCTAAGTTTAGACTTAGTTTGTGTAAAGTTGATACTCTTATTCTGAAAACGTGTAAAATAATTTTCAATAAAAAAGATCTTCTTGTCATTTCCTAAGGAGTCTTTTAGGAATGTTTCCTCTGAAGAAAAAATGGGTAGTGTGGCTCATGGAAGAAAAACGAGTGTTCGCCAGGAGGCATAAACCATGTGGTGTGAGTGAGGACAGAGTGGTGAGCTCCAAAAAACACTCAGGCTCCTGAGAGCTACACATCTTATGGAAAGGGGTCCAGAGACACATAGTGGTATCAGAAATGACTTAAGGTAGTAACTGTGGACACTGTATTGGAATTTGTTAACAGTACATCAATCATGCCATTACTGACATATTCTTAAATATAGCAGGAGGATGGTTGTTCATTAGTTTGTTTGTCAGGTTCAACAACTATCATCCAATATTTTCCTCGAAGGTCAGACATGAGAACATGATGTAATCCATGCAGAAACAGAAGTATAATGATGTACAGCTGAAATTTATACAATGTTATAAACCAGTGTTACCGCAATAAACAAAAAATGATAATTAAAAAAAAGAAATTCTGTACAATTAAAGGAATGAACATGGATGCTATTAACACTCTCAAAGATTTGCCTACATTCTAAACATTGACCAGTCTTCTAATTTTAGATTAGCCTTGCTAAACATGTACGCTATAGTACATGGTGTATTCCTCGCTGCAAAGTCAGAGTCATTGATGTGGTAAGTTAAAAAATATATATATATATAGTTCATCAACAATATATAACATTAGCATCAACATCAATGTCTATATTCAGCCTAACCCTTTTTTCTGAATTTGTATATTTAATTACCTATTTTACATATTCACTCAAAAGTCTAAAAGGCATTTCAAGCTATTTAGCAGAATAAGTTTTTGATACGTTAATCTATGTTTCTTTTTCCCTTCATCAGGTATTGGCCCACTTCCCTTCCCTCCTTTCAAGCAAAGATGTGCATTGCCTAAAGTGAGGGATCAGACAAGCAGAAGAGAAAAAAACTGTTGAGCTCTCCTTGATTTTGTGTTCACTTTGCAAAACTTGGAAAATTCAGGGTATAAATTTAAAATGTGTGAGAAAAGGGGCCGGCTCTGTTGTGAACCGCGCGTGCTTTGCTGCGGCGGCCCGGGGTTCACAGGTTCAGATCCCAGGTGCAGACCGATGCACTGCCTGTCAAGCCATGCTGTGGCAGCGTCCCATATAAAGAAGAGGAAGATGAGCACGGATGTTAGCCCAGGGCCAATCTTCTTCACCAAAAAAAATAAATAAATAAAAAAGAAAAAAAAATGTGTGAGAAAAGAATGGGCAAAATAGAATTTTCCCAGGAAATACTACCCTTCCCCACAAAATAAATTCCCCTGACTTGTGATAAAGTGAATTGAAAGAGAGTTGGATCCTAGAGAGAGGCATCAACACTCCACTGTTGTCCGCAAGCCAAATAAGGCAGCAGGACACCAGAGAGGGAACGGAGGCGTGCGGAATCTGAGGGCAGAAGCCATCTGAAGCCTGGTAGAGATTCCTGAGTTATCTCTATCTAGATCGTTCTCTCATCTCTCTCCGATAATTACTCCTACTCATATTTGGAACTTAGTTACACTATCACTTCATAAATGCCCTCTGTTACATGCTTTCAAGCACTGTACTATCTAGCAGATACAGCATTTAAAATTGGACATTTATTTGAATGATTTTATGAGAATGTCTGTCTCCTTCCGCACTGTGAAAACTGTGAGGGCAGGGGCTTGGTTTATGATTTGTTCAGTGCTAATGTATGGTAGGCACTCAGAAAATAATTGTTGAGAGAACAAATAAACAAATGAAATTATCATTGTTATCATTATAACTCACTTTGTGTAGTGTTTCATAGTTGTGTTGTGCTTGGACCAAAAGATCTTAAGAACATACCCATACATCCAGAACAACATCTTCTTTTTGTACTCATCAATCTTCAAAGCAACATATTTGCAGCTACATCAGGGTCTTATCCCTGCTTCATTCTGAGATATATTGATCTCACAAAGCCCATTTCTTATGTCCACCTCAGATAAAATAAATAAAGCCAAAGACAATAAAGGCAGCCCCCAAACTAAATCATGGGTGAACTATATTTTATATGATCTTAAAAACTTGTTCTGGTTACTAGATAACCTTCCCCTGGAAGCCCAAAGCTACAATTACAAAATAGCATTTCCAAATGACCTGCCTACCAATTTATAAATTCCTTCTTTTTTAATCTTCAGAGTTTCATATTCTATCACCTACCTTTTAAAAACTTTCCAAATTCTCAAAAAAACTTCACTTTTAATAACTTTACAAAAGAATTTTAAACATACAATGCATTTCAATGTTCGTAACAGCTCTCTGAATAATTATACCATGTATTATTACACCCACTGCCATTTTAAGGATAAGGACACCAAAGTTTAATGAGATCAAATCACATGTACAAGTCTGTACAAGATGTACGTGGTAGAGTTGAAACTTAAACCAGTCTTGTGATGCCAAACATAATTTTTCTATTTCATTATAATTCTTTCCTATAAAAAAATATAATATACTAAATGTTAGTAATTTTCAGAGCAAGGCATTGCTAGTAAGTAAACCTTCAACAACTGCTCTTTGAGTTACAAGTTATCTGCAATTTTACTTGTCACTGGGCTCCTATCAAATTCCATAAATGTTTGGATATATCAGTGATTGCAACATCAGAGATTTTAGAGCTGGCATTTTACATAATCTGTATTAAACATCATTTAGTTCAAACTATTCATTTTATGCGTAAGGAAGCTAAGGCCCAAAGAGAACAGGTCCTGCCTAGCCCAGAGCCACACACCTAATTTGGCAGTTTAGGAGATGCTAGTACTGATTCTTCTTCTACATGTTTCCTACTATATGTAAATTTTCGAGTAATTGTATATCTTTGAGAATGGCCTGGGAGAGGGTAGTTCTCAACTCTGCCTGTCATTTGCTCCCTGCCTAGGGAGTTTCTAATAAAGACCTAGCCCAGGAACAAAAAATCAAAACCTCTGGTGTTAGGTCTTGGCACCGGCACTTTTATAAATTTCCTCAAGTTGATCCTAATGTGCAGCATGAGTGGAGAACCAACAGTTTAAAAACTATCTAGTTGCCAAATGCTGTCTTGAGCATTTAAATTGAAGTTTTCTCTATTAACTCAGCTGAATTCCCTGTTTCTTTTTCATTTGCTTCATAAACGTCATTTTCTATTGTTCCTCCACTGAGTTGAGGATTTGTGTGTGTGTGAATGTTTAATCTCAACCACTTCTATGTAAAGGAGAGAATAGTTTACCTTTCTTCCACGCCGTGTGCATAGTCCTGCTTTAAGCATTTACATGAATGACTGAGTGTGTGTATATATCTGTGGACCTTCTGAAAATGAAATTGAAAACTACTTGAATTTAAGCACCTTGTGATTTTGCCTGCTAAAATTTTCATATCTGCGCTATCAGATATGTGTCCTTCATTATAAATTTATAAATAAAATAAGAGAATGCTATTTCATTCTGATGTGTTTACCCTACTTCCCATTGTTGACCACGTTCTTTTAGGTAAGAAATTAGGAGACAATCACTTGTTGAAAACTCGAATTAACAGTTATAACTCTTAACACATTTTAAACATCTCTTTTTATGTATCACTTCATTTCCATCAATGAAATTTAGCTTTCTCTTACTTTAGGCTGTCTGAAGGGCAAATGATTAACCAAGTGAGTCTTCATGCAAACTACCCCATGACGCATACATTAGTTAGATGAATAATAATAATAATAACCAAGAAAAGAAATATACCAGGGTAAATCATAGTGTGACTATACATGAGAACCCATATGTGACATGGTGTAAGTAAATGTGTTTAATATAATGCATGTGATGCCATTCAGGAAACATTTGTCTTGATATGGAATACAATTGATATCTCAACATATTAAGTGTATATAATCAAGTATTTTTATTTTCTTCAAGTTTTAATGATTATCTCAAGTATGAGTTTATGGTTAAAACTCTAGATGTATATATATGCTGAAAAAATTAAAAGTCCAAGCAATAGAACATAATTACTTTGTGAAGAAGGTATGAAAATTAGAAGCTCTGTATTTGGAAGCTGCATTATTCTCCTTAAATGGGAAAGAGAGTTTGCTCTCCTAGAATAAATATTCTAAGGTGTTCTGCATTTCACTAATTTACAAATGGAAAATAAATTGAAAAGTAGTAAATGTGTTCAAGTTCATGGTTATGATTATACACGACCTTGTAAAATGGAAATAAAGAAAGTGACTTTCATATTTTGGTTTTGCCTTCTAGATTTAAGTCTCTGCAAAACATTTTCCAAAAAAAGTTTTAATAATATTTACAACCTAATTATAAAAGATACGTTTATAATGCTTATAACATTCAGAATAAATTTAAATTATAATCTGAGTTCCTTTTATCATGAGTTTATAAAAATCATGAGGTTGGAAATATTGATAAAATATCAAAACTGTCTTCACTTACCACAGGATTCTGTTTTTCAACCTTTCTTTGACAAAATATGTCATCTTGACAGCCAGTTAGCATAAATGACTTATCACTCTCTGAACCCTTGTGGTTAATACAGTCTGGACCCTGCACTTCCAATTGTCACACACCATTATCATGTTTCAGAATGTCAATTTCCCATCTGAAGGATGTTATCTCCCCAAAGCGTAAATTCTTCTGATATTTGTCTTTCGATGTCAGCATCAAAACATGTGATCTTTGATCACTAATCTAATTCTTTATGGAGCTGTAAACAGACAGTAACAAAGCAAGAATTTTCTTTTGATTGATAGATTGTTATTTTGTGATTCAGGATTCAGGGAATGATTTCAGTGATGGCTCACGTCTTATATCATTTAGGATCAAATACAAACCTTTATTCTTACAGAATTTAAATGGAAATACTTTAATTTTTTTAGCTATTTATGGCCTTCAGCAGCTTTCAAACAATTTTCAGAGCAGTTATTCTCCAAAGGCAGACTAATTAATAAAATTTGAGTCTTGTACACTTCTTGTGAATGATAAGCAATAAAACCTCACATACTACATGCATATAAAGCATGGTTAAATAACAGCTTAGACAAATCATAAAAATTTTAGACATTTAAAACCTATCTACATCCATGAACTGATGTGAATTAAATAAAATTGGACACACTCTGATGCTAACTTCTCTCTAAGTATTGCCCAACGATCCCAATGGCTGGAAAGTTCTCACATAGCAAGTCAAGATAGCTAACCATTTGTGTACACATATGGTAATTAATCACAGAATTATTTGTAAGAACTAATAGGAAAAAAACTATATATTAAACAGCAGGGAATAATGTAACAAATCATAGTATGTCTATGTAGTAGAATATTATGTCATGTCAATATTTTACTTTTCATAAAAGATTAGTGCTTTCATGCATTTTATTGTGCTGTTGAGGAGTTTGAGGTTTATGCCTCATCAGCCTGAAGTATTCAGAAAATGTCAAGCCTTCCTTAAGCAGAAATTATTCAAACATTTAATTTACCATGTGAATTTAATCATTAATGAAAAAGAGAAAAATACATGAAATCCAACGGACCTACATAATAAGTATCTCTTCCTCAATCTCAAAAGATTTTCAAGTATTTAAAAGAAAGGCATATGCATCACTCAACTATCTGCAAGAGACAACTAGTGACAAGACTAAACACACTTATTCCTGATTCTGCATAGTTTGGATTATCTAATACATGCAAACACAGCTAAAAACTGGAGACACAAAAGTTAGGTTCATACTCTCATGAAACTCATCATTTGTGGAAAACAGGGGATATGCAGACACATTAGAACAGGATACATGGAACATCTGAAGGATTAATAGGAGGCAACAATTCCCAGTTTTGCTACAGCTAACAAGCAGTTATGGACCTGGAGGCATCACTGAAGATACTCTAAAATTTTTCATATGTCAGGAATTTGAATGGGCTAATCCCTAAACCATATTGTGTATAGAAGGACCAAGGCAATACGGACTAAGAATCTGAATTTGAAATCATTGCAGTGGAAACAAAATTTTCAGCTGAGTAAAGCAATGCATGAAAGAAAAAGTCATTCCATCAAGTGAAGCTCAAGGATGCAGTTTGAGATTAACATTATTTTAAGATTTTCTTTTTGAAAACTTAATCATTCTGGTAGCTTCTTCATAGTGGCTAAGCAGAGAGTTTTAAAAACCTGTTTGAATTGTACCAACAAGTATGTTAATGAGATTTTTTTTAGTGATAGAAAAATATATCTGGAAAGGACAACTGCAAAGAGAATAAGGAAAGATTCTAAATTATCATTTAAACTAATATATATTTCTTTGATAGCCTCTAAAGTAACACAGTGTATTTTACTGAAATACACTGTATTATATTTGCCTTCATCAACTCTAATACATTTGGTTGACTCTCTCATTTATAAAAAAGGCAATAAGAGTAGGTGATGGCAAGTTAAACTTTTCTAATAAATCTCATTGCAAGCAAACTTACATTCCACTGCTGTATATATAAGGGATAATTTGGACAGATGTTTAACTGACTTTCCTTATTAATATTCACCATAAATGAACTGACAAATTCAAATTTCTTTAAGCACAAAAGCCAACAAAGTCAAATTAAAGTAACTAACAGTAAAAAGAAAGCTGCATCTTCATGAGGGAAAAAAATAACAATAATTAAATGAAGGGTAGTCTTGTGTGTGACAAATAAGATGAAATGATAACTTGAATTTGACCTCGCAAGTACTTCTTCTAAGAATGTCTTTTTCACGTGAAGAAAAAGATAGAAAAAGTAAATAACGTTTGATATTGGCTTGTGTTTTTTTCTGAGACAAGTTAGCATTTTCTCTCCACATATGACAGGGGACACATCTTCCCCTTGTGTTTACATATTGAGAAGGGACATTTCATTGCCTTTCAGGAAGGAACAGCAGGAGAGGAATATTCCAGAGACTCTAAGCCTCCTCACTTTTTCCCAGGAGGGAGGAGTGATTTAGCTGGCTACTGCAACTGGGAAAGGGAAATAAACATGACGACTCTGCCTTTGGGAGCACTTTCTTTAGGAACTGCCTGCCTGCAAAGAGGGTACTCGGGATCTGCTGATGGCGGTCAGCTGTACTGCCTGTGACATGACAGAGCTCTCATCTGGAATACACAGTAAGAGGTCCATTGGCCACAAGTCCATTCCACCTTCTCCAGTTTAGATTTACCAGGAGAAAAAATGAATTTTGATTTTGACTCTAGCTCCAAGAGGATTCCAAACTTGGGCATTAAAAAAGGGTGCTATTTTTCATCCCCTATAAGCTACATGTACATGATGCCAACACACAACAACAATTCTATCAATTAAATGTCTCCTTTAAAATTCAAATAACATATGAAGCACATCTGACTCTTCATGGGAATCTTCATTTTCTACCTCAGATTATTCTGTTCAGGTGATCATTTTATATCTAACACATTGTTTCATGTAGTTTGCCTGTTTTTTTGTTTCTTTCTTGGTTTGGTATTTTTAGTTGTTTCACTTGGGAGGGTAAATCTGGTCCATGTTAATCCATCTCGGCCAAAAGTGGAAGTGCTCATTGTTTCTTCATTTGTACTGTTTGTATGTATCCATCCATAGTTATTCTCAAAAAAGCTATCAAAAAACATTCAATTATATTTGCCAAATATTGAAGCACATGAGATAATTTATTCATTCAATTTAATTTCCTAGAGAACTCCTTTTAAGAGCCCCTCATCCTTCTAATCCAAACTGGCCTTGCCATTTTTTTTTTTATTGATTTTATTTTTTAGAGTTTTAGGCTCACAGCAAAACTGAGGGGAAGGTATGGAGAATTTACATATACAACCTGCCCCCTAAAACACACAAATACCCCTTTATCAACATCCCTCACCAGAGCTGAAGATTTGTTACAATTGATGAACCTACACTGACACATCATAATCACCCAAAGTCCACAGTTTACATTGGGGCTCACTCTTGATATTGATATGGGTTTGGATGAGTGTACAATAAGATGTATCCATCATTATTGTATCATACAGAGAATTTTCAATGCCCTAAAAATCCTCTGTGCTCCATCTATTCATCAGTCACCACACCCAACTCCTGGTAATCACTGATCTTTCTAGTGTCTCCACAGTTTTACCTTTTCTAGAATGTCATATCATTGGAATCATATAGTAGGTAACCTTTTCAGATTGACTTACTTCACTTAGTAATGTACATTTAAGGTTCTTCCACATATTTCATGGCTTGATAGTTCATTTCTATTTAGCATTGAATAATATGCCATTGTCTGGATGTGCCATAGTTTACTGATCTAGTCACCTAATGAAAACCACCTGATTGCTTTCTAGTTTTGGCAATTATGAGTGAAGGTGCTATAAACATGTGCGTGCAGGTTTTTGTGCGGACCTAAGTTTTCAACTTCACGACATAAATACCAAGGAGCACAATTGCTGGATCATATGGTAAGAGTGTGTTTAGTTTTGCAAGAAACCACCAAACTGTCTTTCAAAGTAGCTGTGCAATTTTGTAAACCCACTAGCAATGAATCAGAGTTCTTATGGTTCCACATGCTCATCAGCATTTGGTGTTCTCAGTGTTCTGAATTTGGGCCATTCTAATAGGTGTATGGTAGTACCTCACTGTTGTTTTAATTAGCATTTCCCTGATGACATATGATGCAGAGCATCTTTTCATATTCTTATTTGCCATCTGTATAGCCTTTTTGCTGAGGCATTTGTTAAGGTCTTTGGACCATTTTATAAGTGGGTTTTCTTGTTTTCTTATTGTTGAATTGTAGGAGTTCTTTGTATATTTTTGATAACAGTCCTTTACCACGTGTCTTTTGCAAATAATTTCTCCCAGTCTGTGGCTTGTCTTCTCATTCTCTTGGCATTGTCTTTTGCAAGACAGAAGTTTTTAATCTAATGAAGTCTAGCTTATCAATTATTTCTTTCATGGATTGTGCCTTTGGTGTTGTATCTAAAAAGTCATAACCATACCCCAGAACATCTAGGATTTCTCTTATGTTATCTTCAAGGAGTTTTACAGTTTAGTGTTTTACATGTAGTCAAAGATTCATTTTGAGTTAATTTTTCTGAAGCGTATAAAGTCCATGTCTAGATTCATTTTTTTTGCATGTGGATGTCCAGTTGTTCCAGCACCACTTATTTAAAAGACTCTCTTTACTCCATCATATGGCCTTTGCTCCTTTGTCAAAGATCGGTTGACTACATTTATATTGTTCTATTTCTGGCCTCTCTATTGTGTTCCATTGATCGAATTGTCTGTTCTTTTGCTGATACCATGCTGTCTTGACTAATGTAACTTTATAATAAGACTTGCAGTCAAGTAGTGTCATTCCTCCAACTTTGTCTTTCTCCTTCAATATTGGTTTGGCTATTCTGGATCTTTTTCTTCTCCATACAAACTTTAGAATCAGTTTGTTGATATCCACAAAATCACTTGCTCTAATTTTAACTGGGATTGCACTCAATCTATAGATCAATTTGAGAACTGACATCTTGAAAATATTGTCTTCCAATCCACGAAGATAGAATATCTCTCTATTTATTTAGTTCTTCATTGATTTCATTCATCACTGATTTGTAGTTTTCCTCATATAGATTTTCTATGTATTTTGTTAGATTTATACCTAAGCTTTTCATTTTTAGGGGGTACTAATATAAACGGTATTTTGTTTTTAATTTCAAATTCCACTTGCTCATTGCTAGTATATAGGAAAGCAATTGATTTTGTACATTAACCATGTATCCTCTCCTCTTGCTATATTCACTTAGTTTCAGAGATTTTTTTGTTGGTTCTTTTAGATTTTCTATATAGATAATTATGTTATCTGAAAACAAAGACAGTTTTATATCTTCCTTCCCAATCTGTATACTTTTTATCTCCTTTTCTTGCCTTATTGCATTAGCTTGAAGTTCTAGCTCTATGTCCAACATTGACAAGGAGTGGTTGAAAGGGGAAATCTTGCCTTCTCTCTGATCTTAGTGGAAAAACTTCAAGTTTCTAACCATTAAATATCATGTTAGCTATAGGTACTGTGTAGATATTCTTTATCAAGTTGAGGAAAATCTCCTCTATCCTATCTTACTGAGAGTTTTTATCATGAATGGTGTTGGATTTGATCAAATACTTTTTCTGCATCTATTGATATGATCATGTGATTTTTCTTTTTTAGCCTGTTAATGTGGTGGTCTACATTAATTGATTTTCAAATATTGAAACAGGATTGCCTACCTAGGATAAATTCCACTTGGTTGTGATGTACAATTCTTTTTATAACATTATTGGATTTGATTTGTTAAAATTTTGTTGAGGACATTGTATCTATGTTCAGGAGACATATTAGTCTATAGTTTTCTTGTAATGTTTTTGTTTCCTTTTGGTATTAGAGTAATTCTGGCCTCATAGAATGAGTTGGAAATACTCCATCAGCTTCTATCCTCTGAAAGAGATTGCAGAGAACTGATATAATTTCTTCCTTAAATGTTTGGAAGAATTCACTAGTGAATCTGGGCCTGGTGCTTTCTACTTTGGAAGGTTATTAATTATTCATTCAATTTTTTAAATAGATATAGGCCTATTCAGATTGTCTATTTCTTCTTGTGGGAGTTTTGGCAGATTATGTCTTTCAAGGAATTGGTCCTTTTCATATAGGTTATCAAATTTGTGAACATAGCGTTGTTCATAGGATCCTTTTACTATTCTTGTCATGTACATGGGATCTTCAGTGATATACACGCCTTTATTTCTGATAATAATTTGTGTCATCTCTTTCTTTCTCCTTAGCTCTGCTAGAGGCTTATCAATCTTATCGATCTTTTCAAAGAACCAGCTTTTTGTTTCATTGACTTCCTGTTTTCAATTTAATTGATTTCTGCTCTAATTCTTATTATTTCTTCTACTTACTTTGGATTATTTTGCTCTTCTTTAAATAGTTTCCTAAGGTGGAAACTTGGATCATTGATTTTAGATCTTTCTTATTTTTTAATATATACATTCAGTGCTATGAATTTCCCTCTAAGCATTGCTTTTGCTGCATCCCACAAAATTTGATGTTATGTTTTCAATTTCATTTAGTTCAAACTATTATTTAATTTCCCTTACGATTTCATCTTTGACTCGTGTTACTTAGAAGTATGTGTTTAATCTCCACATATTTTGGCATTTACCAGTTATCCTTCTGTTATTGGTTTCTAGTTTAATTCCACTGTGGTCTGAGGGTAGACATTGCAAAATTTCTATTTTTTTAAATTTGTTAAGGTGTGTTTTGGTGAATATTCCATGTGAGATTAAGAGAAATGTATGTAGGACGAAGTAATCTATAGATGTCAATTATATCCAGTTGAATGACGGTGTTTTTGAGTTCAACTATGTCCTTACCAATTTTCTGCCTGCTGGATCTATCCATTTTGGAGAGAGAGGTGTTAAAGTCTCCAACTATGGTAGTGGATTCAACTATTTTTCTTTGTAGAGCTATTAGTTTTTGCTTCACATAGTTTGATGTTCTGTTGTAGGTACATACAGGTTAAAGATTGTTATGTCTTCTTAGAGAATTGCCATTTTATCATTACGAAATGTCTTTTTTTATTCCTAAAAACTTTCCACGCCTTAAAGTCTGCTCTATCTGAAATTAATATAGTTACTCCTGCATCCTTATTTTTAGTGTTATCATGGTATATTTTGCTCTATCCATTTACTTGTAATCTATATATGTCCATATATTTGGAATTAATTTCTAGTTGATAAAATATATTTGGATCTTGTTTTTTGATCCACTTTGACAATCTCTGTCTTTAATTGACACATTTAGACTACTGACATTAAAAGTTATTATTGGTATAGTTGGATGAATATCTAGCATATTTGTTAACTGTTTTCTATTTGTTGTTCTTTTTCTTCATTTCTATTTTTTGACTTCCACTCTTTCTGCCTTTTATGGTTTAACATTTTATGATGCCATTTTCTGTCCTTTCTTAGCATATCTCTTATACTCATTTTTTAAAAAATTTTTTAGTTGTTGTTAATCCAAGTCCACTTTCAAATAGCACTATACCACCTGATGAGTAGTGTGAGTTCCTAATAGTAACAAAATAATCCTAATTCCTCCTTCCCATCCCTTTTTCATTGCTGTCATTCATTTAATTTACAGTAAGCACACATAAGCATATTTCTGATATACATAGCATATATCACATACATTGTTGGTATCATTATTTTGAACCAATTGTTAATTGTTAGATTGATTAAAGATAAGAAAAATAAAAGTTTTTATTTTGTCTTCACTTATTTCTTCTTTGTTGCTCTCCTTTTCTTTACACAGATTCAAGTTTCTGACCCATATCATTTCCCTTCTCTCTTTCTTTCAATATTTCTTGCCAGACAGGTCTACTAGCTACAAATTCCTTCAATATTTGTTTGTCTGAGAAAGTCTTTATTTCTCCTTCATTTTTGAAGAATAATTTCTCAGGATACTGAATTCTAGGTGGTTGTTTTTTTCTCTCGACACTAAATATTTCACTCCACTCTCTTCTTGCTTGCACAGTATGAGGAGAAGTCAGATGTAAGTCTTACATTTGTTCCTTTATAGGTAAGGTGTTTTTTTCCTCTGGCTTCTTTCAGAATTTTTTCTTTACCTTTGATTTTTCAAAATTTGAAAATGATATGCCTAGGTGTAGTTTTTTTGGGCATTTATCCTGCCAGTATTCTCTGAGCTTCCTGGATCTGTGGTTTGGTGTCTGACATTAATTTGGAGAAATTCTCACTCATTATTGTTTCAAATATTTCTTCTGCTCCTTTCTCTCTTCTCCTTCTAGTTTTCTCATTACATGGATGTTACAACTTCTGTAGTTGTCACTCAGGCCTTGGATATTCTGTTCCTTTTTTTTAAGACTTGTTCTCTTTGCTTTTGGTTTTTAAGGATTCTATTGACATATCCTTTAGCTCAGAGATGTTTTTCTCAGCTGTGTCCAGTCTACTAATAAACCTATCAAAAAAGTATTCTTCATTTCTGCTACATGAAAAGGAATCAATGGGAGATAAGATAATCCCCTTGCTGCATATCCCTTA